TTCGATCAGGAATATTCATTATGAATATCACATTTATAATGAATATGAAAGTGTTATTCATCCATGAATCCCATATTCAGTGACGGATCCAGAAATTTAGGTGACTGGGGGTGCTCAGATATAAAAAACCAAAATCGAATAACTCCCCAAAACCAAAAGGGTTCCGGGTTAAATGTTTCAGTTAACCAAATAAGGTAAATTACGGTTTCGATTTTTCTTTACCATATTGGTTCACCGAATAGTAAAGTATACTATTATTTAATTTTCTTTTAGATGGTTTGGTTTCAACATATATAAAATTAAAAGAGCAAGAAACTGAAATATATTTTACTATAAAATTTTAAATTTTTTACATTTGAGTAGGGGCTTTTCCTTCTCCTTTATGAAGATGAGTCCGCCTCTACCCACATTCATAATGAATATGTTATAAATGAATAACATATCCCTTTTCTTGATGAGTATGTTACTTGTATTGTAAGAAATTCTCGAGTTTCTTATCAATTGTAGGTTTCTAATGGAACCGAAATATATATATATATATATATAKAKAKAKAKAKAGAGAGAGAGAGAGAGAGAGAGAGAGAGAGAGAGAGATGAGAGTGATCAAATACAAACCACTCATTTTTGTACAAATTGTACAAACTAGCATCAACAAATAGCATAATTACATTTATTTTCATTTATTTTAAATTCATAAGGGTATGATTGTATTTTAACTTTATAATAGATAATTTTAGTAATATTTTAATTGTGCCTAAATCGGGAAGATTATATAGATTACAAGTTTTTAGGAAATAATCAATCAACTTGTTTTTATAATAACTTGAAACCGATAAATTTTTATTAGATACTTACTAACATCAATGAAACAAAGTAATTTCCAATGAAACAAGTTCAAACTGTTCAATGAAACATGATCATACATGATTGCATCAGGTTCATATGTATAACAACTGTAATGAAACAGATTTATATTCATAGGTATGTATAACAGTTGTAATGAAACAGATTCATATATATAACAACCGTAATGAAACAGGTTCATATGTCATATATGATTGCATCAAGTTCATATGTATAACAACTGGAATGAAACATGTTTTTCCCCGTTTGCCCTTCCCTGTCTCCAATATGAATCCCTTTTTTTTTCCTTTTTTTAACTTTATTTATGTAGTTTGTTTCAATCTTGGACTTTCATAAAAAAATGGATAGATTTGTATGAAATGGATGGTTTGTAAAGTAAACCTCCTGTCTGTATGTTTATTCTCTTAAGAAAAAAGTGGGAAACAGTAGAATGTGATGAGTATTGCATGTGAATTTAATCTCCAATCTAAGGAATCAATGATACAAAGAACATATGCATATATGAGTCTTGAAGTTCAATCTGTGGTCACCATCCAATTATTCCAATATTACTCAAACTGGGATTTCTTTTGCATTTTCTACTTCAACCTATTCAATTTCAAATTTTCTACTTAAACCAGTGACTTATTCATTAAGCTTTACATAAAAAGCCAAGTTTTTTTTTCCGAATAAAGTATTCTCAATCTATACAGATAAATTATTCCATACAGTCAGCTTTATCAACTTATTATCTATGATTCTTTCTTTCTTAATACATAATTATATCTGATTTGTAAATTCCAAGATTCTAAATGTTGTGAAAGGTGGTGTGATGGCCTCGTCAAGTCCCAAGCATCAGAAACCGTGGTGAAATCACGATGTTTTTCAAGGCTTTATTGTTAGTGAAATGAAAACATCAGTGCTTCCTTTCCACCACGTCCTTTCCTTATGTGTCGAAGATGTTAAGGAGGTGTACCGGATGCTATTCCTCTTCGGATACAGGTTTCATGATCACTTATTCTAACTTGATAAAAAAAAATCGTTAATGTAAATATCGATGGGAAAATGACGTTCTTAACTAACAATTTTTCACTTATAATACAATTTACTGTTTACACATGTACACACAAGTAACTTTTTCAGTATCGTATGCATAAAAACTACGAAACATCTTCAATTACTTGTATGAATATATATACATACATGAAGGGTTATTGTAGTGTTCCTTAATTCTCTTTTTGGATTTTTCCTAGGAAGTCAAAGACTCACATACCGCTAGGTCAAAGGTCTTTTAGTTTGTAACATTTTCTTGATACAGACGTTTTATCTTGTGGATCGTTTACAACGTGATTGATTATTTTTTTGGTTTCTAGTTCTTGGATATGTCGTCTTTTAGTTCTCTACGTGGATTTCAATTAAAAAGAATAACATTGATCGACAACATAACTTTATATATATCTTTAACATCAAAAAAGTGACGAAAAGGAGAATTTTTGATTTAGTATTTAACACATCTCAAGTGTGATTTGATGTCAAAGAGAGTATTATTGCCATGCTTTTCGTTGTCAAGAGAACGATTGTCGGATGTTACGACAAGCATAGTAATTCCATTATTAAACGAGTTGGTCATGTTGAAAACTGTATGGACTCGTTAAGCTACGTATACAGCTTACATTTCATGAACGTATATGTTTTTCAAGATAATTTTCTGGTGATGAATCATCATATGGAAGAAAAAGTGTAACGATACATGTTTTTACTAATGATTTTTTAGGATATTTGATTGGTTTTCCATCAACTCCTGTACGGATAAATATGTATGTGTGGATTAATTTGTCTATATAGAATGTAAAGGTTTTTGTTTGGGAGAATTTTTTTCATGGATGCAAGAAACATGTTTTTTAATTGGGATGCKCAAATTTAAAAGAAAAAAAACTTGATATTCTGCATAATACTCTCTACTAGAAACTTATTGAATWAACCATTTTCTATATCATTAAATCACTATCAAACAATCATGTATGATATGACTAATTGGATAAACTGTTAGTTTTATTAAACCGCTAACAAACATGTCCTTAATTTTTAATGACTAAATTAGAAATGAAGTAATATGTTACTATTTTGTTGTAATTTGGATATTTATGGGTTGTTTACCAAACGCTTACTCGGTAAGCGCTTACGGGTAAAATTTAACACTATCATTTACTTACCGGGTAAGATTTTAGTCCACCAAAATTGTATTAGATGCAACAGTTTACCCGGTAAACTTTTACCGTGGTAAGAGTCTTCATCCTCACTTACCGGGTAAGACTCTTGGTCCTTGTCTCGCTCTTAACGGGTAAGATTCTTGGTCTTTACCATATTCATCCGGTAAGGTAATGTGATTTGGTGTTCACTTACCCCGAGTAAGGATTTGGTAAACGGCCCCTTAGTGTTCCAAAATGTATATGTTGACTTACTGATGGTCTTAATATATTGAGAATGATTTAATCACCAAAAAGAAGAGCTTTTGTATTTACGGTAGGAGTTCAAACGTAAACATCTTTATTTTATAAAAACGCAAGGATATTCTTATCACATGTAATAGCACATGTGAACGGATTTGGTGTTGTGCAAGTGACTTGGTCCATGATCTAGGTTGTATCAACGCGTCTCTAATTTAGCATCACATGTGATGGACTATATTTTTACATGTAATCAGTTATGGTAAAAAGGGTGTTTTTTTAAATTTAGTATTACATGTAATGTAATACAGTATCACATCTGATTTAGTAATTATGAAAACCTAAATTTGGTTGAATTACTCTTAATTGGTTTTTCACTGAACGAGTTATTCGAAAAGGCAGAATTGTCCGGTACCAAGTTTTTTTCTCCAATGCTTCATRCTAGATATTACCAAATGGGCCCCACCTGGTCCAGGACCAGGATCGACTGGCAACCCTAAAGCGACTACACTTTTTTGGAGAATTTACGGCTTGACCCARAACCRGGTATRCATAGGMCMAATTTTTTTTTAAAAAARTAAGTTTTTATAAATTATATATCAAGTTTTTCAARATTTCTACAAGATTTTCAAGGTTTTTACTCACTTCAAGCTTTTTTAAGTATTTCAAGTTCTTTTTGATGTTTTTCAAGTTTTATAAATGTTCGAATATTAAATCTCAAAAATCGTAATTATAAAAACATCTATAATATTTTTGTATAAAAAATTTAAAAAATATATTTTTAAAGTGTAGTTAAATGACACAATTAGAGATTTTAAAGTGTATTTTAATAAAATATTGTCCAAAATAAGAAAATCTTCAAAGACGGTTTTTTCTACGTTCAAAATTGATTTTTGGAAGAAAAAAAAATTGGGACCGGTTCCAAAAACATAGACCGGGCCATGGGTTTTTGGTGGGGACCGGGATCGGGATCGGTTCTAGGGACGAGTTATAAAATACATAGACCGGGCCATAGGTTTTTAGTGGGGACTGAGACCGATACCGGTTACGAAAAGCAATTCTGGGACCGGAACCGATTTAGGCCAGGCCCAAGACCGATTTTTGGCCATCTCTACTTTGTACTAACCAATTAAAATTGATATACCAAAATCTTACCAATTAGTTGAACTTTCGTACCAATTTTTTTCKGTTGGTACATGATAGTACCGACTTTGTACCAACTTCAAGTTACAAATATGAAAACTTGCTATTATATTCGAATTTTGAGTCACTATTTGAGTTTTTAGGTAACATATATGATGCGTAAGGGTTTTAATTACAATAAATAAAACTTGCAAACATTCAAATGTTTAAACAAAATAATTAAAACTACAAAAGTTTAATATTCAATACATCAAAAAATAATAAATAATCAAATAAGTGGGTACCATGGTACGCAACTTTCAATACCGTATGCCAACCAAGTTTGCATACTTGATAAGGTGCTCCCAATCGATTGTAATTTGGTGCAAATTTGTCACCCCGGTTATCCCTACCGATGAATTCYGTTACTAAACTCGGCTAACGAAGATTAGAAACATCAATTGCAATSAAAAGTTAACAATAAAACAGGAATTCTGTTTGGATTTGATCTTGCAAACCATTCTTCTCAYACTCAAGAATGGTTTTTGGATGTCAAGAATTATGATACCCATTGTCATCTCTTTGGATGTCAAGAATGGCTTTTGGATTCAGTACAGCTACCACAAGCAAGCAGACAATCATGAAGCATTCCATTGTATGATTAAGCTAGCTAGCTAGATAGATACATACATACATAGATACAATACAAGTTTCATGCACATATGAATATGATGTGGTAGTAGTATAGCAAGAATCAAGTCCAGTTCAGTTTAGCTGAATAGAATCCCCAAAGCAGTACAAGGGTTCTTTCAATTCCTCTCTGTTCTGTGTCTCCTTTTCGCCATCTCCGTTCCCTTCTTCGAAATCCCGTAGCTTCCGTCATCTTGTAAACTCATATCAAACACTCCTGAATTTGAAGCAGAAGACTGTTCTTTTCTACCATTTCCCCTCTGATTCAATTCAGCTCCACCTGAATTCGGACTACCATCAGTTTTCATGAATTTCCCATTTGCGTTTCTTGGATTCTCCTCATGGCGATGTCTCTGAATCATACCCGATTCTGGGTCCAAATCTTGATCGGAAACCTGGTACCCAAGACCCTTGATTCTCCTTCCATTTGCGTTTCTTGAATTCTTGTCATTCCCCTTTCTCTGAACCAAACCCGAGTTACTTGAATCTTTATCCCAAAATCGATACCCAATACCTGAATCGTTGTTCTTAATTTCTCTTGAATTCTCGTTAAGTAGATCGCTCTGAACCAAATCTGATTCTTCATGCGAATACCCATCGGTGATTCTTCCGTATGGTTTTATGCTATGAACCACCCCTTTAGGGAAAAACCTAGCGGAAGGAACACCGTCTACCGTCTCAAACAATTGGGGGCCATCTTTCTCGGACCATAAATCAAACCCACCAGGTTTCTGAAACCGGTCAGCCAAAACCTTCAATTGCTCATCGGCGCTAGCCGAGAACAGTTTCGGTGCTGTCTCTAYGATTTCCCACGGCCGCTCGAGCTCCGAAACGGCGGCGCTTAGCTCAGCCCGTTTTCTCATTTCGTAAATCTGGCGTTCACGAGCGAGCCGAGCTCTGAGGAGTTGTTTGGCTTTCTTTGCTTGCATACGCTTCCACTGCCACTTCGAGACGCCGCCGGGATATGTTCTTGGACCGCCGCCCATGCGAATCGTGGTCGATTTGGGGGAKTTAGCAATCGATAGATGGGAGAAACTGGATGTGAGGAACAGTCGGGTCGGGTCAGATACAATATTGGATGAGAAAGAGAGGTTGGATGATGCARGTGAAGGGATTGATAGACGCATTTGAAGAATCGGCAGCGACATTGTTGTGCCGGTGCTCCGAAGAAGAACCGTCGGATTTCCAAGATGAAGAGTAAAAAGTACGATCCAAATTTTACATCTTAGGTCCCTTCACTATTGTATGCTTGCAAGTAATGGTCCCTAAATTATAACTATCATCAATTGAGTCCAAAAACACTAAAATAAATAAAGCTTTAGTGTATACACATATTTACATTCCCACAATGATATCGATGTAATTTTGTCTGGTTAGATTACCTTTGGGATAGATGACGGTCTTCGGCGTGGAACCTTGACGGATTGGAGGGTGTCGAGTCGTTGATTGAAGTTTGTAATTTGAGACAGTGAGTCACAGAGTCAGTGAGAGTGAATCATGTAGATGGTCTGATGACGGTGCGACGATACAGACAGGCGACAACTTGAGCGTCCAGAGGAACGATAAGGAAAAGGGAAAATCTGAATGATATGAGGAAGGAATGAATGATGAATAATTGAGAGAATCAGATGTATTTTATTTGATCAAATCTGCCAAACATGTTTAAATCTGATYGAATSAGACATTTACCATTAACAGGTAAATAAACACATCCTAACAATCCAAGTTTTACAATTTAAGTCCCTAATGTATTGGTTGATTGTTAATAATGGTYCCTGAATTATAACTATCATCGATTGAGTCCAAAAACACTAAAATAAATATAAAGCTTTATTATATATACATATTTACATTCTCATAATCATATCAATTACATCGACGTAATTTTCTATGATTAGATTAATGAATACAAACCATCACGATGATTAACATTTTCTCTAATTACTACTGTTGACAGTAGTGGGTGTTGGTGGTTCCAATGTACTTCTTCTTCTAGTAGCCCGAATGTAGCACACGRTCGACACCACAAACGCCATGACTAACCCTCCAAGGATCACCCCACCTCCGACAAYTGACTTATCATCCGACTTCGACCCATGATGGTGGCGCTTCTCCAAGTACACCCCATTCTCCTCCGTCGTATTCCCACTGTTTTCTTCACGATTGCTTGATGGCCCGTTGTTTGATGGATCTAATTCAGTTGCATAATGTTTCCCAAGTTTCCGACTTTTTGGTGCTTCAGCTATCTGTACATGTAACGAGCTAGAATCCGTCAAATTAGTCACRATAGGCTCAGTCCTTGAAGATGTTGCAGACATGGTTACAAATGTGTGTGTTAAGACGAAGAAAAGAAGAACAATTTGAGCCATTCTTTTTAATCTTTGTAAGGCACACAATATTGGAGGTATACAGTGTCTTTATATGTATCTGTCTACATATATATATACATCGAGAGAGGGGGGAGGAGGTAAGAGGGTACTGTGAGAGAAATTTCCTCTTGTTAATACCTGCATTGTCTGAAGAAAAGGAGAAGTTGAATAAAAATACACGTGAATTGAATATAATACTCTGAAAAAACAACTACTGAGGGGACATGATTTATTGAGTTTTATGTTGCAATTAATGATGATGAAGTAAAATAATCAGAATWCATTTTTAATGGTAGAAAACCAAGATCAAGACCTCGATATGTGTACCATTATAAAATACATATACGAACCCAGATTTATTCAATGAAAAATATGTATTGAAACAAAAGGAATAAACGTGCATACTCGATGTTCATATTCTTGTATATCTGGTTATGTCTCGTCGATAACGCACCCTTTGGATCTCCTGATTTCAAAGGGGTTATCGAAAACGTTACTTCTGTATAAATTAAACTGGGTTTTTAATTTAAAAAAACAGACATTGATTTTAATAAATAAATGACTAAAAAGGGCATGCTCACAAACCCTACATGTCTTGTCCCTAATGACCAACACCTACAACCCTCATGATTCTAAGATGATGACTTTCCTTGTGTTTTCTTGGAATGTAGATGGTCCCTTCACTTACATGTGTACATTAATACAACATTGTTTGAGAGAATTTAAATTTTTTTTTAAAATATTTAATTAAAAATGTTTATTTTGTAAAAAATATCGTAAAAATATGTTAAGGATTACTGTTAGAAATAGGTATTATTCTAAGTTACACATATTTAAATCACTGTAAAAGAAGGTTATCTACATCTATACTATATTATAAAACATTTGACAAAAACTCTTAAAAATCATTCTTTATGCATGAAGTATCGTGTATTAATACATATTACTTAAAATTTAAGATTACAAGTAAATTATGCATAAGCACAACTTATTTAAGCTTCATGTTTGAATTTGTATAACTAACTACAGATAAACATAATCAAATATTGGATAAACATTTCATTTTAAATATAAAAAATCTAAATATAATTAAAATAATCATTGATAACTAACATAATACTTAGTTATTATCTTTATAAAA